GGGGGGGGGGGGGGGGGGGACGCGAGACCGACGTCCCCGCCGGGAGGGCGATGCCTTATTTCGCCGAGCCCCTGCTTCAGCAGGCGGCGTCGGAGCCGGTGGGAGGGAGCGGCGCGATCTTTCAGGAAGGCAGCATGCCTGTCTTGGAAACCCAGGGGCCGTTGAGCCTTGGACCGTGCTCGGTGGCCGCGGGGAGGGCGGCGGTGGAGGAGCTGGCGAGGAGGATGCTGCACATCGAGGCGCTGGTCTTCAAGCAGGACACGTGAGTGCAGCCTGTGATGTGTCATGTGTCATGTGTCATGTGTGATGTAGCATGGCATAATGGTATGACGTTTTTCACTAACAGGACGCTCGTAGCTCCCTCCCCCCCTTGTTTGCGTGCTCCAAGACACCCGAATCCCCCATGTTCGTCTTGTGCATTATTGACAAGACTTTGTTTACTGTTTCCATCGCCACATATGTTACATTGGTTGTGTTCGCGGAACGTTAACCCTACAAGTCCTTTAGTGTTGTTGGGCAAACCCCTCTCTCCAACGGCTTCCAGTAAAGGGATCAGTTTGTAGTGATAAGAGTGCCCCCCCTAGTTTGTCCCCTTGTAGGACAGCGGCTATGTTGCTAGTGCGTCGTTGTTTGATACTTGCCCATGATGTTTTATATGCACGTGATGTGGTTCGTTGCGTGTTTCCTGTTGCTTGTGTGCAGTCGGAATTAGGTGGTTTATGTTGTGGTTGTTTTGCTTGTTTGACGCGTGCGGAATGTTTTTTGTTTCTCCTTGTTGGTCTTGACGTGTACTACAAGGATAAGGCAGTTTTGTCGTGCCCCTTGTTTGATGATGTGTGCAGGGTTGTGGATGCCCGTTGGTCGGAGTTCGGGCGGCGTCGAAAGTGGAGGACCTTCGTCAACAACGCACAGACAGCGCCGCAGCTCCTCGCGGCCTGGGGCGCGTTCAAGGTGAAGGATGGAGGAGGCTGGCTCGATGATGAACAATGGCATTGGCATGTCAGTGTTCGTAGAGAAATGATCCTGTGTGGTCGTTCGTTGGCGTGTTCATCTCTCTCTTCGTAGCCCGAGATGGCTATGGATGTTATAACATATAAGTGTGTGTTCACTTGGTGTTGGTTTGTTTTGCTTGTGTTTTGCTTTGGATTTTTTTTTGTAATTTTCAGTTTTGGGGACGCAATGTATATCGTATCGCATCGTATCGTATCGTATCGTATGGAAGCAAGGAAGGAAGCAAGGGCGGCGACTGGAGTACGGTGTAAGCACGATGAAATGAGTGGGGACCAAAACAAAATGTCGAATGGATGTGGAACGGTTGGGTTTGTATCTGCAACATGTGTCAAGGGTTAATTAAAACTGCTGGTATCTACCTCACGTAAGCTGCTCGCACTGACTTGATTATCTGGCCACCCACAATCGCACGCAAGCTTGCTTTCATTTTGTTCGGCGTTGTGCTCTTTTTTTTTTTTTATCTTTCCAGGATGTGATCGACTGGCAAGCCGCGCAAGGGTGCTACTCGGAGCTGGACCGGCGAAAGTTCCTCTCCCTGCTACCGGCTCACTTGAGAAACTCCATGCCGGACAAGGGGGATGAGGTCCTCTACTATGGAGATGGGCACGTGCTCTCGATGGAGGCAGAGGTACAGCAGAATTAAGACTTTCGATGTAATCGTGCGGTAGAAGAGCAAGTGTTCTTTGTTTTTGTCAGCTGTCGGGTTTTGGCGATGCAGGTGTTTTGCATGCGGCAGGCATTCTTCGCAGCGGAATGGGCGTATTGGCACCCAGGTGAAGTACGGCGAGTAAGGCGTTCTGTGCTTGTTTTTGCTGTAGAGTCGTGGAGCCTACAGCGGTAGTAGAGCGTGGCCGTGGTGCCGAACTCCTGTCTGTTTCTATAATAGCTGTAATACTGTCCAGCTAGGATCTTCTTCATAAACACGCGATGAACAGCAGTTTGAATATTGTTCATTTTCTTAGTTTGGCACTCACTTTGTGAGGTGTCGGCGAGGCACACTAAAAAAACCTCAGGCATGAACCGCGGAACGGGGTCCAACCCCCCCCTCCTATGTGACCCCGGTTGGGTCGTCTAGCTATTAGTAGAAGTGGAGGATAGGGGCCAGAGGGGCAGACGACAGAATCCAATGATGGGAGAAAAAACAAACAAAAAACGAAACTTTCCGCTTCTTTTTTTGTTTCAACACTCAAGAAAACTCATGTCTCTGATCAGATAATTTTTCGCGATAAGTTACCAGTAAGTTCGTCGCGTTTTCCTTTCCCCGTTTTTCATCTGCACTTGTTTCTTGTTTTTCCATGCGCGTACATTGCCGGGCGGCGGAGTCATCCAGCTAGCCATCGTTACACCACCCCCTTTGCCCATTTAACACCCACTCCGTGGCATCACACTTGCGCCAACCTCTCTCTCACACTCGGTGCGCGTCTTGTCTTTACGTCGGCGTGGTGGCCAGGCCAAGGCCGGCTATAGGGGTGTGTGGGGCTCTGACCCGCCTAGGCCTGGCACCGTCCAGCAGCACACGGTGAAGTCTATCTCGTACCACCAGGGGGGCTCCAGCCGGAGGGCGAAGGGCGCGCAGCCTTTCGCCACCATAGAGCTTGAGGTGAAGATAGCTGATAGCTGATGAAAGCTGCTATTTATTGACATTGTTAATGTAGTCGGGAGTCATTTTGGGTCGAGTCGGTGGGTTTGTGGTCTGTTGGGGATGGGATGCGTTGCCGCGAGTACCGTATTTACATGGCCTTGTAAGAGTTATTTTGTGTCGGGGGTGGATCCCGCGGCTGGTTCTTCTTGTTTTGATCTGCATGTGCCAAGAGGTTTTACCCGCGCTATACCTGCCATCCGCCCGCCCTGTTCACTAGGGTTCCACGAACGTTGTAGCGACAATGCGGGCACGCCAGCAGTTGGCTTCGTTCGACTCGACAACAAGGGTTACCCCTACCCCCCCATCACGACCCCCCCCTCACGCGTGCTGCCTTTGATCCGGACACACACACACGCACAGCCCACTCCGGTGCCCCGATCTTTCGAAGAGCTGGGTCTGCTGCCTCCCACAGAACCGTTCGGCAAGCTGAACCGGCTGTTGAAGAAGGCTGTCAAGGCCATGAGGGAGAGGGCTGACGTAGCGCACTTCCTCGTACCTGTGAGCAGGACGATATACCCAGGTGGGCGATGCTGCAGGCATCTTTGCGGCAAGGGAGGAGCATCAGCAACAGCGGCAGCGTGTTTTGTCACCTAATGCTCGCTGTGTACAGTAGGTGCTCGAGTATATCCGGATTCCGGTGCCGTTATTCAATTTATCGTTTTTAAAACAATATTGGCAACATTACATCTCGTGGCAGGACGGCATCCACCTCTGTTCCCGCAACCCTTGACAGCTAAGTATATGTCCGATACAGTATCGCGTGGAAAAAGTAGCCGATTGGCAGCTTGCTACACCATGGCAATGCCCCTCTCCTCCCGTATCGTATGATCCGTTTTCCGCTCCTGGACTTACGAAATCACGAAAAAAAGACTACTACGATGTGATCTCGGAGCCGATGGACCTGAACAAGCTGTGGAAGCGGTGCTCGGCGTGCCGTTACCGGTCAGTGGAGGAGTTCAAGCGCGAGCTGGCCTTGGTCGCCTCTAACTGCCGCCTCTATTGCCAGGACAAGTTCCCTACCCTACCCCCAGCGGCCGACGCTGCGGTGAACGTGAGTCACTCACGTCACACTACATTACATCACATCACACCATATCATATTACGTCACATCACATCACATCGCATTACATCACATCACGTCACATCACATCACGTCACATCACGTCACACGTCACATCACGTCACATCACGTCACATCACATCACTTAGCTTGCTCTATCTACATAGAGTGCGAGGGGTGTCTTAGGCACGACACCGCTCTTGGACCGGACGAAAAGGTAATATCTGTTCAACTGTGCTGCGGTGACTGGTCACTTGGTATCTAGATGCTCGCAGCTTGTTATTTTGTAGGAGTGTCTTGTTAGAAGTGTCTTGAGCATGACGCCGCTCTTCGACGACAAGGCATTCAAAAGTGAATTGCAGTCGGCTGTGCTGCGGCGAATTAGTCACTTGCCATCCATCTCGGTAAGGGGTGGCCTAAGCTCGACACCGTTCTTGGATTACGCCGAAAACAACGCCCTGCTAGTGCGCTCGCTTGGTAGCTACCTTGTTGATTGGGACCCGTGAGCACGGGCACACCGCTCTGCGACAATACAAAAACGCCCAACATCTTCCATCATTCCACAAGTTGTGCGCAGAGCGTCCGTCCTCTGGAGGGCTGGTGGCGCACAGTACCCCGGAAGAACCTTTGCATTCCACGTGGCGCAATGTGACAGGTTTTGACCTCTGGCAGGTGCAAAGCTGAACACTTGTTTTTCTGCTCAAGTCTCCACAAACACCTGGTGCTGCTACTGACTCTTTCGTTGTCGACGCCATTGTTTACACTCTTCTTGGGGCCTGTTTGCCGTGCCCCCTATATAACGTGCTTCCTAGGTTGGAATGGAGACCCTAGATGAGCCCAAGCTGGCTGCCGAGCTTAGCAAGACGGTGGAAGACGGGAAGAGACTGGAGGCGTTGTGGAACAAGCACATGTCGGCCGCCATCAGCGCCTCGCCTGAGCTCGCCACCATGCCCGGCATGCAGAAGCTCGCAAGGTATGCATCCATGCAACGAACGCCTGTAACCACCGGGCTGGTCGTTGTCTCTTGCTGTTCCGACTTTGATTCAGGTTCACAGTACACACGCTGAGAGATGGTTATCATGTGCGTTTTTTCATGGTGTCTCGATCGATTGTTTTTGCTCTCTGCCTCACGATGGTTCAGGCAACTGGGCTTTGACACGGGGGCTGCCGAAGAGGATGACGTCGGAAGAGGGGGGCAGGAGAGCGACGAAGACGACGACTATGGACAGCCGGACACGGCCAGCATCGCGCGACAGGTAGGTGACCGCGGCGCTAGACGACGACGTGTCGTGGCATCACCTCAGGGCCGTGTTTCATCATGGCGGGTGTTGGTGGTGTGCTCGCTCATGTTTGTCTTCTGGGCACCATCCCCTTCGGTGATGCAATTACATTTAGGAGCAAATACGCTCTTCGTTTGAGCTGTTCGTTTGGGCAGCCTGCCGATGACGGGAATAACGTGTGTGCTTACGTGATTTTTCGCTATCACCAGCAGGGCGAGGAACTAACTACATAACGTTATCGTTTGCAGTGGTTGTTGCTGAACCATTCCCGCTCTCCCCCCCGTAGGTCTAACCCTCAATCACTTGGGTATCGGTCTTGCACGTATCCCTCACCCTTCGCACCTCCTCGGGACGATGCTCTCTGTTCTTCTCTTTTCTTGCTGTCAGGTGTTTTACGACAAGCTGGTGGGCATCAAGTACGGCACTCCCGACGAGGGAGAGAAACAGAAAACCGACGGCAACGATAGCAGCGACGTCAAGAAAAAGCCTTCAATACTCGACGAAACGCCCGAGGCACGGTCTCCGACGGCCAATGGCGTCTCTCCAACACCCCTTTGGCCAGGCAGCGGCGCGGCTGCTGCAGCTGCTGCACCCCAAGCATCGCCGTCGGCAACTTCGCCATCGGCATCCTCGCCGCCGCCGGCGACAAAGACGGCCGACGCAACTTGGTCGGGTGCGACGGCAGTTGCGGTGGAAGGGGAAGCCTCGCCGTCTTCTGCTGCGACCGGCGCGCCTGGCGACGCTGGTGCTGCAGGCGCCGAACCAATGGACGTCGATTCGGGGTCCACCGAACCGAAGTCCGCCACATCACGAACATCGTCGTCACCGTCACCAGCAGCAGCAGCAGATGCAGATGCAGCTGCTTCGCAGCCTCGTTCGCCTTCGACCGCTGCATCACCTCCTGCAGCAGCAACCACGGCGGGGACCCCAGACACACCTCCGCCCGGAGAGCAGGAGAAGCGGCAGTCGGACGTGGCCGCTGACGCGTCCAAGGAAGAAGGCGCCGGGGGCGGCGAGGCGGCGGCGGCGGTAGCGGCGGCACCGGTGGCGCCGGCAATAGCGCCCGGGGGTGTGTTTAGGGTTTCTATGCGGCTTAGCAACGAGATGCCCGAGTTCGTGGTGGTGGCGTCAAAGTATGACGAGGCCATGACCTTCAACTGGAGGTCGGAGATGCACATACAGATGGCCTTCATGGAGGAGCCAGGTGCGTGCCATGCCGCACCGTGCCGTACCGTGCCAAAACGTACCGTACCGTACCGTACCGTACCGTACCGTACCGTACCGTACCGAAGCGTGCCAAGCACTCTGTAGTGGGCATTGTTCTGTAACATATGGCGTTCACTTTGTTTTTGCCAGGATTATATCTATTGCATGCGCTTGTGCTAAGCACGTTTCTCGTGGGCATGCTCTTGGAAATAGTCTCTGGTTGTGTTGGGTGGATTGAGCTCGTTAATTCTGTGCTTGGCGTTCGCATTCGCCCAGCCGGTTGCCCGTGAGCTTGACACCCCTTTCATGTGTTGTCGGTACGGAACACCCGCCAACGATCACTCCTCCTGTTTGTGTGCTCCGGTAGCCACGGAACCCCCTGCATTAAAATCGAAGAAAATGCCTACTTGATGCAAGCCTTCACCCGTTGTCGCCGCGTGGTCGTCTTCCGGCTTGCACTTGTTTTTTTTCACCAGGGGAGCCTCCTCGCATTTTCGAGGGCACCCTGGTGGGGGTGAAGCCCAAGGATCCCCGCACGCAAATGATGCCTTGGGAGTGCCTGATAGTGGAGTGGGACGACGAGGCGGGGATGAACACCGTCAACCCGTGGGAGGTGGAGGCTGTGTCGGCAGCGACGGCCGCCGCGCGACGCCGCGCGCCAGGGATGCCGGGGGTAGGAGAGCACATAGGGTAGGCCTGCGGGACACATGACATGCGTGGCGGCGCTTCTGCTGCAACGAAGACGGCTGTCAACGGGTAGGGGTGGGGGGTGGGATACCAAGCGTCAATAATTGGTCCGGAACTTTGATTGGTCTCTTTGATGCGAATGGCCTCGACGCAGGCGGCCCGTGGTTTGTTTCAGCGGGTTTGTGCGTGCTGGGATTTGTGTACTGGGAGCGGGGCGGGGGGGGGTAGAGGCCGCTCGTTATGTATGCAACGGTGGGCGAAGGGTACTCTACAAGCAGTACAGTATTTTGGCGTTTGAAGGTGCTGCGCAGGATGTGGTTGTGTTTGATTTTTCACGAGGTTTTTTTGTGGAGATACAAGTAGAAATCTGCCGTTTCAGTTTAGTTGCTTGTGATTTCGGTGGTGATGGGTTATGTAGACGCCCTTTCTCTCTCACACACACAGGGTTGCGTAGCATACTGACTATTATGTAGCCTTGGGAAGGGTCCATGTGTCCATGTACTCTGTGTGTGAATATGGTTTAGAAGGGTTCTTTATGATGTAGGTTTGGGAAGGGGGGAGTCTTGCCTTGATCGACGTGAACACGGCAATAGAAGCCTTTCTTTTTCGGAAATCTATTATTTACTCTGTCGATTCTGGGACAGCAAGTGTTCGCTACAAGTCGTCTTTAATTGTTTGTAGTTTTTTCGCTGTCGGGGAGCTCTTCCCCAGTCGGTGCATGTTCCTGTCATGTCTCGGAAAGCTGATGGCGTGGGACATGGCGGTGATTGTAGCAGTAGCCTTGTCTTAACCGGGAGGCGGCACCGCGGTCGGGAATACTAGTGGGTGGTGGTGGTGGGAAAAAAATGAACACAATATGGGGCGGGCCCCCGCCTCGGTTGAAGGCAAGGCTTGTACAATAGCACCAATATACATAGGGAGAGAACATTCAGGCCGCGTGGGGACAGCGTGAGACTGCCACGCCCCGCTCGCTGGTTTATTCGTCGAACTTTAACTTCCCTGCTTGGCTGGCATCCCACTGTTGTTGTGTGGCTGTTGCTTGGAAAATGTTCATCAAGTGTTTCTTGAGAACCGCCAGACATCTTGATGGATGCGGCCGGGCGAGGGTGTGTGCACGCCAGTAATAATAGTATTAATAGTGGATGTGCATGCATATTCGGTACCCCAACGCTCCTTCTCGATCGGCGTCTTTTGCTGTCTTGGCACCGTCCATTGCGTTGGTACGCCGACGAACGACTTTTTTCAAAACCTTCTTGTGCCATATCATCCCCTTCCCTTTCCACCGGTCGGTATTGGACGAATGGAGAGAAGACAAAACAACCGTGCTCTAACGAGGACGTCGCTGTTGCCAAGGTGAAAATAATCAATTCGAACGGGCTTCCGAAACGGCTGATGTTCGGCGAGTTGGTGGGAGGGGAAGACCCGGGCCAGGGAAACCCGGAGCAGAACTGGCTGACATGCCTGAAGGACGACATGAAGATGTTCGAAGCCAGGTACGGCTCCACAACCGACAAGCCGAGCGTCTTCGGAGTCCCGAAGTTAGTCTGGAGTGAGGCGGCGAAGGTGGAGGGGGGGGTACCGTGGCACGCGGGGGTGCTACAGGGAGCTGAGAGGTTCATGGCCTCTTGGCACAAGGGCAAGGAGGAGGCCAGCCGACAACGAGCCATCAAACGAGGAGACAGCGGGCCCAAAAATAGTCTAGATACGGCACCAATCAACGGGGCGGTAGGGGGGCGGAAGGAAACGGCGCGGCGGGAAGAAAGCAAGCGAGAAGAGACCGACCGCGTGACGTGACATGTTGCGGTCGAATTTCAACGAC